GATGATTGCTCCCACAGTTGATTTTTTCACACCAAGCTATTACTGACCTCTGTCATCATTTTAAGTGGGGGAACTTGCACAATCGGTGGCTGACTAAATACTTTTTTGCCCCACTGTAGCTCTGGGATTATGCTACATTACAGCTACGATTTTTGCCAATAACTATAAGGTCCTGGGTGAATGTGATTTCACTGCTTAAGGTTAACTCTGATGCCCCTAATAGTTTGGTTTTCTTCATCCTCGGAAGGCTAATGCTATCGATACCACAATTAATTTAAAAAAATTGCTTTTGCATTGTTGTAGACATTTAAAGCATCGTGTCTAAGCCCAGTCTTGCAGTTGCAATAGCTGTAAAGAGCATAGACCATAAGGTTGTTCATGCATACCGATAAAATGATAAGATTAGTCAGTTTTTGTGTTTATTGTGTTCTTGTTTTGTTTGAACTCTATTGAATAGCCGATACAATGTACGTTCTGGGTCCATTTCGGCACTCTTTGTTGCCATATCCTGAACAGATCCCCCTTATTATACATGTGTAGTTTGGCTTGGAATAGAAGAGGCAGGAGATCAGTCACTACCCCTGTAGTTAGTCACTTACATTAGTTAGACGGAGAGGCGGGTATCCTGGGCTACGTTAGGAAGGTCCAGTCTGTGTCACCATTTTCACCCCTGATGAGTCTGGGCTTTGGAAACGTAAAAACTACCAGCTATATTATCAGGTAATTGTGATTTTGCAGAGAGTGTGAGGTGGGGTTACGTGTTGCTACAGTATGTTTGGATGTTCTTAGACTATTTAAATGATCAGCTAATTCGCACATTTGAAATGTTTTCTTGAGCATTTGTCCTAAAGAAAAAACTAGTTTAGACTGCGAGCAGTTTGCCACTGAGGTTTTATAGACAGTTTTGTGTTTTAGTACTGTCTATGTTATGATGGTTGATTGATTATAAACCGGATAGTAAACAATCACTGGAACGATGTTCAGTCAACATCGCTGTGTCAACTTTAACTTCACTGAATCAACGTTGAACCCTAATGCTGGTCCTTCATTATTTTGGCACCATTTCGTTGAAATCTTGACTTAAGACTTAGTCAAGTGGAGAAAGTAATCGAGGGATAGCAAACACTAGTGCTGTTTGACTTTGTGGGCAGTGTAATGGAAAACACAAAGTGGAAACATAATACAAATGAGATGACTAACAATCTAATTGTGCACTTCTTCACTTAACTGAAGAAAAGCAGGAGACCCACCCACCCTTTCTCCTACTTTTCTTGAAAGCCTCTAAAGGTTGAGCCTAAATGTTGGACTTTGTTTCCTATATAAGGGGAAAATTTACTTTGAAGGACCCCAGGAAAGATAAAAGTTTGTTCTTACTTAATATCACACTGGTATGAAACCGTCATGTATGAGAATCTTCCTTTGGTTTGGGTTCGGAGGTAGGGGTTGAACCAAATTAACCCAAGGTTAAAGGTCTTTGCTTTGTTGGGCAACTGTTTGTTCTGACCCCTTAAACTTTCAACCCTTCGTAACACACCAGATGATTTCAACTTAAAAGGCACAACCCTGTACTTTAAACAGACAGTGATGACTCTATAGAGATAAGATGATGTATTTATTGGTTGTGTTAAAGGTTAGATCACACCTTGCTTCCAATAAATTGCACTGTCAGAGTGTTATGTTTTGTTGTGGTGGAAAATTCATGACTCCAGCAAGCATGACTGAGCTAATCCTGCCTAGGCAACTAAACAAGCCTGGGCTTGTTTAGTTTATTAAAATCATGGTTTGCCCAGATCTCACAAACTATGAAATGGTGTTGAAAGCTTTAATTCCTCAGACAAGTAGAGCATCACAGTTAACTGGATTCTGGAAATCCTCTGTTATTGCTGGAAAGGTATATCATGGTTTTATGGCTATTAATTTTATGAGACATTAATGACAGTGGGGAGCAGTTTTGACTCACTGGGTTTAACCACTAGAAACACGTTCTCACCATTTTCTTTTTGAACATTATGGCGTGATAGTTAAAGGAACTTTGGCCCTGTTGCAATCATCTTGTGGATTGTTAGTGTCAGCTCGAGCTGGTGTGAAGGGGAAGAAGTAGGTTATTCTGACAGAGACACAAAATAACTCTGACTAGGTTTTCTAAGAAAAACATCCACTCCTCTCGTCTTTTGAGTCATCTGTTAAGTCAATGCATTTTTTTCCCCTTTTCCCCCAAAGTGTTTTACTCCCTTTTTAGTACTGGTAATTGTATTTTTTTGGCATTAGTCAGCAAGAAGTGTAGATTTGGAGCACCCTCCTGCTAAGTAAAGGTCTTGGCAACTGGGGGAAAAACATATCGCTTACACACAGTTAAAAATGTGCTATAAGGTAGACGAACAAGCAAAACATTAGCAAAGCAGTTGACATGTGAGACATGTGGTGATGAGCCACGTGGACTCTAGTGAAAACTTGCAGAACAGGATTCTTGTAGTTTCAGCAATGATAGCTGTTACTTTACTGTTAACCAAAATTTTCTAGGTTTCTCACCGACTTTAAACACGATGGCTCTGCTTAGACAGAGATGCCATATACTAAATTGATGCCAACTTGCTTTTTGATGATCTATCCACAGCCCACTCTTTATCCATTTCTACCTAAGTGGTCGATGTGAGGTAATTTTCCATTTTGCGGATCAGGTCAGGCGAGGGAATTGGAGGTGCTTTTGGAGCCGTGCCTAATGTAGTGGATCTCTCCCGAGCGGCTGGGAGAGACGGATCGAGAATAGCTCTCTGTGAGGAAATGTCACCAGAACAGCAGTGGCAGCAGCAGCAACTCAGGGGCCCCTCTGGCCCTGCCACTCTTCTCCTAGGGGAAACAGATGGCACCTGCCCAGAGTTATTTTAAGGCTTCAGAAGGGTAACTGTACCCCCATGTCACCCAAAATGACTAATCTCGGCAGAAAGGCAAGAGCCCTCAGGACCTGTTGCAACATTTGCCCTCCAATCAGCAACATTTTATTGTTTCTGTATTCTGTGTGTGTGTGTGCGCACGCTCTAGTCTCCAGTATCTAGTGTGTATTTTTTGATCTTCTTGGCAGTATTACTAGGTTAAAGTGCACGGCCTGCTAGAAAGTAGAACTGGATCCTCTCAAGCACACTTTAGTCAGCGAGACATTTGGGTTTAAACCCTGTAATTTGGTCGAAGAACTAACAAATAGACCACCCACACGTTTACCGATACATGATTCTGTGCAGCTATCCCTTGGGGCTGTTGAACTTTGATGACAGCCTGACTTGACTGTGGGTAGGGAGATAGAGAACGTAGTGGATGATCAGAGAACTTTGTCAAGAGTTGGAAAACAAAAACACCCCCCACTGTAGGGACACATACTAGTTTTTTTTAGTGTTTACCTCTTCATGATCATTGGTTACTGACACTTGAATGTGAATGCACTGGCTTTGTTTGTCTCCAAGCTCCTAATGTCTGCTGGATTCTGACTGGGTTTGAGGAGTTTGGAAATGCACATCTGTGAAGCTACAGGGTGGCCTCCCCCTTATCCTTCCCTCCAGCCTGCCTCTCTGGTTTTCAACCAGGTCTATCTGCGTCTTCCACTCTTCTTCACGAGCCAGGAAAATTCCCCCCTCGCTGTCCCCAGTATCTGTCTTTTGTGGGCACATTTTGAAACATTTAAGAGACTGGCTATGGTGTAAGCAAGTCAAAGTTCACTTAACCTATAGGGACATAGTTGTTCCCTTCAACCCCAGCACTTTGCAAATTGTCGCTGAAGTGACTGAAATAACACTTTGCATAGGTGAACAATAAAAGACCAAAAGGGTATTTTCTTAATTTTTCTGTTGCTAAAATATAGAGCTGATATTTTTGAGTTTCTGTGGCTGTCACTGTGAATGACATTGGCTGTAAGGTAACATTTTATTATTTAAAATGGGTAGGTTCTTTAGGCAGTGCATTTTGTCGTTTGTTTTTTGTACAAGAAGGACGATAACCAGGAAGTCTTTCATTTAGACACCTTACTTCCAAGAAAGCAAAGATAGATGGTTCTTGTAACATGCACACACTGTAACCATAGCAGCTTTGATGAATTCTTAGCCTTGTAGCTGGTTTTGTTTGCTCGAGCATGTGTGCATATGAGATATGTGACAACAAAAGGATGTGTGTCTCAACCTCGTTTTCCTGCATCTGTTGTCTGTGTTTGTCTTTTATGCCATTCTACCAAGTTGTGTAAATGTGTCTGCTGTTTGTGTCATGCTCATCCTGGCTGGCATTTTCCCATTGCACACAGTACAGTGGAAGATCAAAATGAATGTCTGTCGACAGGCTGACTTTTTATCAGCAAATTCCACGTTTTCCCTTCTTTGTAAAAAGCTTGCTTTTTTTTTTCTTTGGCAGGACGTATGGGCCTCAACTTTCATCATCCTGGGGCGGACCACATAATGTCATTGAACAGTAAGTCACATTTTCATTGTAGGGGCTGATCATTATTGCTCAAGATAAATGTCACCATTGCTTTTTTGTCCTCTGTGTTCAAAAATAACCAACAGTGGGAGGCACGCTGTTTGATACCTCCATGTTAAACATATGACCTCGCCACAGGGGCCACTGACAGTATGAGCTGGGTACACCTGCCCACCCTCTACGAAGCCCTGGATTCCCTGACACCATAAACCTAAGACAAACCTTTTAACACTGTAGGAAGTGCTATTTACTAACCACTCAAAACACATCCAAAAATACCCCGAAAGGCTAGATTCAGTGTCCCAACAGATGGCAGATGACCCAACAGTGACGGGAGATGAGACAGTGAGGAAAATCAACTCTTTATCTCATATGCAGCTACTTGAATACCACAGAATTTTTCAGCCGAGGTCTTTCCTTCTAAATGGTCTTTGTTTGATGGGATCTGGGATGAGATTTCCTGGATTATTAAAGATATATTTCTTTATCATTATCATTAGTATCTTTTTTTTTTTCCATTTTTGGGTACAAACCTCAGTAAAAATAAAAAAAAATAAAAAATACAGGATCTCTCTCATGACTGGTAATCAGAACAAATCCGAGAAGCCTTGGTTTCCTCTCTGGATATTTTCAGTCAGCCTACAAGGTGCAGAAATGGGCAAAGGCAGAAGGAAATTTCTCAGCTAAGCAGTTTTTACTGTCGCATCTTGACAACGCCGATGCTCCTTCCCCATTTTCTTCTTTTCATCATCTCTATTCTCGGAGAACATGCCTCGGTTTGATGTTAAACTGTTGTGTCATGGGATAACGCTCAGGCGAGCACAGATCTGTCCATATCTTCCTCGTCTGTCAGCTGACTCCGCAGCCTGTGATCGGTGTAGACAGGGGAAGCTTTGGTTTCAACTTTGAGAGTTTCACTCTGTGTTTCTCCTTCATTTCATCCCATTAGCTTTGAGGCTTCAGGCTGTAAAAACCTGCAAGGGTTCTGCTTTCTGCAGATGGCGTTGGAACTTGAAGTGAAAAACAAAAGATGGGAAAGTGATGACTGTAGGTCCTCCTTCCGGATTTATTGGTGTTGTTCACTTGACAGCTTAGCAGAAGTGTCTCTGAGGCTTTTGAAGCAGAGTAGAGAAGGACGCATCAAACTCATCATGCCCAGAGGAAACAAAGAGTTTCCTGTCAAGCATTTGCTCTCTCTCTCTCAGATACCACACATTTTGAAGTTTGTACGTATTCTTAACCCCTCACTCTTCTCCTTCCTCCTCTCCCTCCTTGGCTGTATTCTCTCTCAGAGAGGCATCTGACGGTTTCCCAGCACAACGTTTTTTTTTCATTTTGCCCTGGTTGCTAGGTGACTTTGTTTCTGCCAAGGCCAGACGGTGAGAGGGCAAAGCTGTAGAGACACTGCCCAGGTTTTTTGGATTGGTGAGCCAGATCTTTTCTTAATGAAAACATAGCGAGGAAGAAGAGGCTCAGAGACAATATATACTCCCTGAGAGGAGCCAGAGGGGCAAGTCGCATAATGGGGCTCTCACAATGCAAAGGCCATATTGGTTTTTGAGGTCTGCTTTGTGACTGATGAGTTTAGAGGGGCAGGAGGGTGTCCTGCTGTTTGTTGGCATTTGCACCGCATTTTGCCTACTTTGTGCTTTGTGGCTTCAGTTTGGATCACAGCGAGATTGAAAGCTAAATTGTTTGTGGGAACTTTTCAGAGATTAAGTCCTGAAATGATATTTTTTTTCTTGCATTTAAAACTTATGAAGCATATGAAGCATGAAAGTTAATTTTTGGCCTCAGATACAGTATTATAAGTCAGTGGCTCTCCTCCCTTAGATCTACTCGGTAGCTTTATTGTCACTGTGTCTCAGCATCTTTATCTTCAGTATGGCCAGTATGTAAACTACAGACTTGTATGGTGAATGAAAATCAAACACAGCAGGTTGTAGACTTAGAAGCAACACTGTTAAGTGGCATTTGTACCAATGCCAAAATTTTTTTCACATTTTCAAATGTCTGACAACATATAATAGAAAATGCTACAAATGTCTACAAACTCAACCACAGAACACACGTAAAGACAACGACTGTTTCATTAAAAGTTACTTAGTTCCACATTTAATAGGTTTGGTTGATGGAGACATTATCACATGACCTCTGATCAGTAAAGAATTTTAAAATGGTTAGAAGTAGGACAGAAGATGCCAATTTTGTTACAGTCTTGGTGTTTTAAAACTCTATGTGACGAACAACGGGTGGCTGTCAAATCAAAGACTGAAAACACTCACAGGCTGACCATTTGTGATTGACATTAGTGAGTGAACATATCCTGAATACCCCTCCCTTCTGACTCTAATAATGAATTTATTCTTAATTCAGTTTGTTAAAGGCTAAACGTGAGCAAATTCTGCTAATATCCTCCATTATCTATATTTTTACAGCTTATCATTTCACGGCAGTAAAATGAGCAGTAAAATGTAAAAAAACAATAACTGAGGTCAGTTTAAAAGCTGGCGCACGTGTCTAGCTGGGGATCTAGCTGATCACAGTGCTGTACTTTGGCCTCTGTATATTTGGATCAATTGAGCTGTGACATCACAGCCTGCTTTCCACTGCTCCCATCTGCATGCCATCCTTTTCAGAGCCCCAACGCTGCCGACCTCGTCCGTACACTCTTCTTATCCTGTGGGAAGTTTCCACTTGGACCTGGTCTGCAAGCCCAGACCTAAGAACACCTTTTAATATTTTACCAAGGCCATGATAATGACTAACCTGCTTTACCTGCTGTTCTGCATGCACTCCACTTTATGGCCTCATTTGTGAATATTCACAGAAGATTAGGACGGACTCACGCCACTGCGGGTTTATTAAGCCAAGATTACAATCGCCAGCTCTGGGGCGTTGCATTATGCTGTCGGGTATCTCGGTCATTTCCGTAGCCAAACCTCACCTATCGCCTTCCCTGCCTGCCGTGCAGTATCTGTCTGTTGCAAAGGCAGGTGCAGCAGGTTTACTGAAGGCTGGTGCCAGGCTGTAATAATCACTCCCGTCCCATTGCTGAAGCTTAGGTGTGGCCATCTGTGGTTTCACTGTTGCCTTAGAGATGTTCCTAGTTTTTTTTCCTTCTTCTTTTACAATACCCATGTCTCTATATCTCTTTCCTATCCTTGTTCCTGCCCCAACCCTCTGTCTCTCCTTGTGTTTCTCCCCTTCCCCCACTGTGCTGACAAGCAGCCCGGAGCTATGGCCGAAGAAGAGGTAACGTGTGGCATTTTCTCTGGGGGTTCTGCTTGCCATGTCGGCCGTGTTCCTTCTCCGAGGCTGAGGGGGGTCTTAGTGTGGTGTCACTATCTGCTTTTCACCTGTGCTGTGATGGAATGAAATCATATTAATTTCAACACAGTGTTTTCCATGTTGTGCATTTAATTAGGAAGGGGTGCAGGGGTCCATCAAATCTCTCTGTATGACTCTTATTTTGCTTGATGGTGAGAGGAAAAAAAAAATCTATCCGACAATTTTCTTTTCTCTCTCTATTCTGAGTCAGATTTCCATCTTTAATATTTACGATATGATCTGTAGTGAAATTATTGGTGTTGTATGCAAATGCATTCAAATCTTAAAAGAAAAGTATCAGCAGTTTTTGCTTTGGTATCATTCAAATCAAACAATCTTCCAGCATGTTTGGCTGAAGTGCTTCCAAAATCGATTTTAAGGGTTTCCTTACAGAGTACGCTGACTCAGAAGTAACCCAATCATCGTGATGGCAAAGATGGGTGCTTTCAGCAGGGTTCATTTCTGATTTGATGTGCATTTTAACCAATTCTGTCTTTCTTCTAGAGTAAAAAGGAAAGCTACTGTGTGACATTTGTAAGGTCACTGCAGCACAGGGCTTGGGGATTATAGGTTATAGCATTAGCATGGTGAAGCCAGTGACATGCAGTGAATCATGCCTGAATAAAATTGCTTTGTAATTGTTCCCTAAGTACAGACATGGACGCAAATAAAGGTCTGATAATGCGCTGCGAACGGTTCTCCTGAATGCCACAATTTAAAAAAAAAAATACACTAAAGTAATGCACCAGTTCCAGCTCCACCTATTCTCATTATCAGCCGTGCAGTGTGGTGTCTGAACGCTAGCAAACCTGATTGTAATAATGATTAGCATAACATTGTGACAACATGATTTGGAAACTGTTTCCAAAAGTATGTGGACACACAGACATAACCATATGGTGATGTTGAAGACCATTAGCATGGTTGTCCATATATGTCTGCCTAAATTCTCCAAAAAGCTACAATTAGCCTTTTAGGTAACACTGCAGCAGAATCTGAGACTTGCAGAATTTCTGATAGTTCAGATATAAATCTGCATGTTTATATAACGTCTTTATCACATAACAGTCAGAGTGGACGTAATAAGAGGTGGAAGAAAACTGCCCGGCAGACAGAGCTTATAGTCAGAATTATGGTGGTAATCTCCAATATTAAAATTGCTGCTGCTACTACAAACCACATCTCTCACATCCTCCCTCTGTTTTTTCATATTTAACACTCTCTCTTACGTTTCCATCTTCCTGTGTTTTCCCCCGTCCGTCTTCCTGGTGTCCTTCTTCTCTTCCTCTTCTCCCAGGTCGTTCCTGTCTTTTTCCCTATGAAGATGGCTTTCTTGACGACGGCCATGGTGATCCCTCCTTAACTCCAGGCCTGAACTCGCCAACCCGTGGTCAGAACGGAGAGAGGATGGAGCGCTACTCCAGGAAGGTCTTTGTTGGAGGCCTCCCTCCTGACATAGACGAAGGTAGAGGAAGAATTATTTTTCATTTATACATTTGGAGAAACACAATCCCTTAATGACAGGTTCTTTTTTTTTTCTTCTTTGTGTGTCAGCACCACTCTGTGATATATTAAAACTTCCAAGTTTCACAAACTGCAGACTGTGTTTTTGGCTGTTTGCCACTGAAAGTTAAACTGGCATATGCGAGTCGTACTTGAGGGCAATTTGACACTCCTTGTTGAGGATTATAATTTACACACCACCAGTTTGAACTTCTACTATTAAAAATTTTACAATTTCTACAATTTGACACTGTCACACTTAACCATTCCCTAATCATAGCACATACCGAGAAATGCTCTTATTGTTTTGGTTTTTTATAAAAACATATAAAGTGCTCAGAAAATATTAAGCGAACGCCAGCAGTTTGTAAAACTAGTTTAGCAAAGAGACTAGAAAGACAATGAATTCAGCAAGGCTAACATTTGTCATTTATTTTTAGTCTTTGTGCTAAGCTAAGCTAACTAGCTTCCAGTCATATTATCATATTTATTGTACACACACTCTTTCCATCAAGCTCCCTGTGAGAAAATGAATAAATGCATTTCCCACAATGTATTATTTTATGGACCCGTAGAAAGTACCTGCTAAGTGTATGAATTTTAGCCCCTGTTCAGTAAAAATGCAGAATTAAATTTGCCGTATATTTAGACCCAATAAATCACTTTTTCTTTTTCTTTTTTTTAGAAAAAAGGAAAAAAAAGAAAAGGAATCTTACCAATTTATCAAAGTCGAAGTGAAAATATTGTTTCATGATCAAATGCTAAACATTAGTGAAGCTAGTTTAGCCTCTAGCATTTAACAGGTTTAGCATGATTCTCACCACTTGGCAGCCATCTTGGTTAAAGGCTTTGGGCTTTTACCAAGAAAAACAGCAGGTGCACTTACCTTTATGTTTACCATAATAAAACCTAGATACCCTTGTCACCATCAGCCTCGGTTGTGCACATGCATCACTGCAACAAAACGACTAGTTATGTTTTGCAGTTCGGCTACAGATTGGCTCTATAGGGAAGAGGTGGGGGACACTGCAATCCTTATCATATTTGAGCTAATCTACTTTTGATTTTGATTTCATTTTTTTAGTCTCTTAGTCCCAAGTTTCTCTTTTAATGATGGTGATGTTTCTATGTTTTAACATCTATGACCTAACAACAACCTGTCATTAATTTGGGATATTTACTTATATGTATCCATTTTGTGTCTTTTTTTTCCTTTCGTCTGTGTCCATATAGTGAACAAGCATATGTGCTACTGAGTTGTTGCACAATACTTTGCCCTAACCAGAATGAAAAATGCATGAGTTTCCAGTGCACACTGGATGTGCTCGGCTTCTGTTCCTGTTTAATGCAGTAGCGACTACTGCAGCAGGAATAGCGCAAAAAATAGAAAGCAGCTCTGCATACACTCCTTTACATACATTTTACATGAACAACCATGAGAGAATCTTTCAATTTCATGTTTCCTTCTTGTCTTTTCTTTATTTTCACAGATGAAATCACCAACAGTTTCCGTCGCTATGGGCACCTGGTGGTAGACTGGCCCCACAAAGCTGAGAGCAAATCCTACTTCCCCCCTAAAGGTAATAGTAGGTTCTCATACCATAATCTCTATTTTCCCATCAGACATCAAAGTGTAGACCAATAAATATCACCTCAGGTGCATCGCCATTTTGGAGTTTTGCAAAGATTCGTATTACGCAGAATCCACAGATCATGCTGGGCAACCTCAGAGGTGTTTGTTTATGTTAGCAACCACCTTTAGGCATCGCACAGAGAGACACATACAGCGTGTAATGACTCTATAACTGGCCACCAAGAGTTTTAACCCCAGAAGTGTTTGCTCGAGTGAGCACCTGAGGAGTGTGAAAGTTTTTCGCCTTTCTGCACAGGCTCTCGGGTGTCATTTTCTGGCAGCGGATCAGAGTCGCGCCTCCCTCCTCAAAGCCTCTACATCACTCCCTCTGGCCTGGGAGCTACAGTGTGTCATATTAGGGAAGCTATTAAAGACGCTCTGGAAATAACTGACATTCCATAGGCAGATGGTAATACACTGCATCTGGAGGACCTGCAAAAATCTCTGCCAATTTATCCCCCACTCCCATTTTTCAACATCCCCCTCTCTTTTTTAGCTTGGGAGGATTATTTTGAATAGGCTTGGGTCTACTAATATCCAAAACCACGGGGGGAAAAAATGCAGCATCCTTTTAGGGGAATGAATGAGCTTAGGATGCCGCCATGTAAGGGGAGGAGACATGTAGGACTGGGGATCTGTGTAGAATTCATCAGTAAGTAGAGGGAATTCATCTCTTGCTCTAATTTTAAACCACACTCCCAAAACTCAGAGAGAAACCGCTAAAATATTCTGTTTATATCACACTCTCTGTATTAACTGGCAGAGGGAGCTTGGACACATGCCTGGTGACAGAGATTTTAGCACTAATAGCTCCGGGCGTGAGAGTAAGAACACACACTTGTGTATGTGTGTGTGTGTGTGTGTGTGTGCATCTCGCTGTGCGACGAATGATTTACAAATGTGGGATTGGCGTCAAGAGGTCATCTGCCTTTTTCCCCGTGTTAAACGTCCTTCCAAGCTTGACCGAATGGAAGATAGCTGTCACTTTCCGCCTTGATTCACATTTAACTGCCGGGAGTATGTGACTACAGTTATGAAAGCATTTTGGTTCAGGGATGACTCATATTGTGGCCGAGACTGAATTTAGGGGCTGGGTAATACTCTCTTGGTGCAAGGAGAGGGTTGGAGTAAGGACAAACATGAACTAGCTGTGCTCT